TAACATAATTTGTGTGTTTCAATGCGCAGGATGGAATGTTCTACCATCAGTCAGCAAGACTCCTCTCCTTCACGATGCTAACTGGTTGCGGTTCCATTTTGGTGAAAAAGAAGCTAGCGCTGCATCGCTTTTTCTTTGACAAGAAAACGGTCACAGCTCACATCTCACAGCGCGCCGCCTCTCACCACCAATCTTGCCAGTCCCACCAGTTCTTATTATTCCAGCCGTCATTCTGATCCCCGTCAGTATCTTTCTTCCATGGACGACCTTGCCAAGAAGAGCTAGAAGAGCTGGAGCCACTGGGGTAGCCGCGCACTCGGGCAAAGTAAAGTTGCCTTTGTGTACCGCGGTTTGTCTTCTTCCTTTTCACCATTTCTTGCTGTAGTGCCTCGAAGAAACGAGCTGCCAAAGACATGCTGCCATTGGGTCAAATTGGAAGCACGTTTAACAAACAAGCTGTCAAAAACAAATAAAAAGTGGCAAGTTACACAGTCAGTGTTGATGCAGCCCGCGCCACTCTCTGCGTAGGACCTCTTCTTGCAGACGCGGCAATGGACGAGATCTGTACGGAAGGTTTCATCGTCATGATCATAGTCACTTGCCGGGCTTGCTGCAGCAGGAGTCCCTGACTGTGAAGGCATGACTGGTTGTGGAATGGCACTGGTGGGCGGCATCATAGCCGCTGTAAAAGCACCCACGCCTGGCTGCGCTTGAAGCAGCTGTTGTGGTTGAACGGCTTGGACTTGCTGTGGCTGTTGAACGCACGGCACTGGTTGCCCGAGAAGGGGCGGTTGCCCAGCGAAAGTCTGTGGCCCAAAAGCGGGCTGTTGCCCGACGAAGGACCCTGGCCCAAGAAAGGATGGTTGCCCAGAAAAGGCGGGCTGTTGCCCGATGACAGGCGTTTGCCACGCCATTGGTTGCCCCATTTGAGCAAAGCAAGGAGGTAGCACCTGACGCACCTTTGGCTGTGCCTGAGCTTGGCGCCATGGTCTTGCCTCAGTCTGAGGAGGTAATTTTGGCTGTGGTGGAGCGTCAGGCTGTTTCTCCTTGTTGTCCTCAGGAGCTTTCTGATTTCCACTCCGCATGCCACCACCAGCAGCAAAGCCAGCAGCAGCTTGGACATGGCTGAAACGACAGTCTAAGAACTGGTGAACGAGTCGAGTTCCTTTCAAGGCTGCAGGTGACATTTTCAAACATCAATGAAGCTAACTAGGGAAGACAAACTAGGTAGCTGCTTGAAACATGCAGAAACTGAAATAGGTTTGAACGCTGAATGTCATTCCTGCCCCCATGATTGCATCGACGGCACTGGCTGCTCCTTTTGCTCGACCCCCCTGTCTGGTGCATGCTCAGTAAGCAGGACAAATGCCCGTTCGAGAACGAGACAAATCCACAGAACAAATGACAGGATCCACAACTGCTTCCTCTACACTGCTGAACCGGTGAGTGCTTGCTGGAAACAGGGCAGCTTCTGCCGGACCGTGGAACATGATAACCTGGCGCGCCTTGGCCTGAGTCAATTTCTGTACAAACTGGTCCAGCTCAGCTTGGCGCATAAGCTGCCATTTACATTCTGCTATTTTCAAAATCTCCAACAGATCTCTGCAGATTGCAGTGTGGCTACCCATGAATAATGGTGTCACAAAGACCCGTCTCACAGTGACGATGGCAGCCTTATATGCAACGCAAATGCCATCTTTGCCCTTGCTCTCCACAAACTGCGGCGTCGCCACAATTCCACCCAGCAGGCCGCCCACAAATTTCATGTGGGAAGTACAGTTGTTCGGGTCGTTGGCCACGAAAATACGCGCGGCTGTCATTGGGACGCCCCGGTCTGTGCCATAGATCAAAGCCTCTTCAGTCCAGGCCGCCTGGTGCAAGGATAAGCTAAGAACTTCAACAAAGACATGTGTACTGTGTACTTTTGAGAACATCCGCATCGTCCCTTGACGACACCACCGCGCCTCCTTTTGACTGACGCGCTTCTGCGCAAGCTTCTGGTTATTGGTGTTCTCTCTCTGGTTTTGCTGGGCCCGCCTGCAGTACTCCTCTGCGGCAGCGGTGAGTTCTGGCGTGGTTTGGTCTTGCGGCAACACCTTCAGGAGTAGTTGCTCTACCAAAGCTTTGCTCTTCTTGGCTTCAGAAAATGCAATCTCCTTCATTTGTTTTTCACCAAAGTATTGCAGAATCTCAGCTGCAGAAGTCTTCTCTGTCTTCAAAGCGGCAATATCGGAGCTGGACGACGCAGCAAGTTGCTGCGTGACCATTTCGCGGCCCTGGAGAAAGCCTGCTTCCCCGTCTTTCAGCGCTTTCCTGGAAACAGAGAAACGAATTGATATTCAACAGTCGCCGAACAAAATGGCAATTTTGAAACAAACAGCTGTCCTTGGAAGACCTTTGTCCCAGCGAGCTTTGCGTTTGCCGTCTCCACTCTTGCGCACCCTGCTGCAGCACGGTGCCCAGATGGCTTTGGCCCTCATGATGTTGTCCTTCAAGTCCAACTCATCTGCGGCCTTCCCTCGCAGAATGTCCTGTTGGATGATGAGGATGCTTTCCTCTGACACAACGTGCTCGTCCTGTCCTTGGCCAAGTTGTTTGGCTGCCAACGCCGTTCCAAAACCTCTCTCCACCGAAGACGAGGAACAAGACCAAGCACCAAGTCTGGCCAGGACCGGCACTAGTGCTTCGGTGGTGTAGGATGCCATGCTCTTGGAAGCTGAGCCCACTGCCTTTTTTCCAAGCCTCAAAGGTGCGAAGGCCTTGTTTGCCAAATTTGGCAGCAAGTGGGTATAACCGATCGTATTCATACTGCAGGGTTGCTGCACACACCCCGATGGCTTGAGCGAGTTTCTCCAAACAGTTTTGGATCTCTCCGCTCTGCCGTCTCTGTGTTGATTTGATTTCGTCTGAGACACTGAAGGCGCGCAGGCTTGACATAAGCTCAAAGCTTGGAAACTCTCCTTCCATCACACTTTTAGCCACTGCAACATATGCCGACATTCTGATCAGGCATTGTTTGTTGGTTTGTGGGTCAGTCCCCCCCCCAAAGTTTTCGCCACATCTGCGACAAGCAGGTTCCGCGGCTTCTCCAAGTAGCCCATCATCAATTTAGTCATTCCGGGAACCTGAAGGCACAAACCATCGATGAAGAGTCTTTCCAAGGTGGACCTGTAGAGGTCCAGCTCCTGAGGCAGCTCGGCTTCGTCAAAGTCATCTGCATCGAAGGATCTAACGACACGGTGCAATTCAAGCGCGCTGTCTGCTAGCATCCCCAACTGAAGCACTTTCTCAGGGTCCAAGAAACGAAGAGTTTCCAGGCAAGCCTGCCCCTCAGGAGACCTTGGTCCCCGAATGGTGGGAACTGCTGTCAAAACGCCAAGCACAGAATCCCACGTGAGGACAAGTCTGGCCAGGACCTTTGCCTCACTAGAGTATCGCTGTGGTGCCCATGCCAAGTCTTTGACAGCTTTGCTGATCTTCACAGGTTCTTTCGATTTTGACCTGAAGTCATTGTAGAGTTCTTTGATCTGTTGGCTATTCACAATCAACCGAGCCACGCTGTGCTGCTTCTCAACCAGTTGCAGAATAATGTCCTTCAGAAAAGGATCGGCCTTCCATGGCCTTGACAGCAACCGTTGCGCTGCATGCGCACGGTCTTTGGCCAACACCTGCGCAAGAATTGAAAAATTCAAGACGAGCCGAGTCCTTAAATAGCAAATCTGCTTCTAGCTGCTGGGGATCCACTTACCAAAAAAAAGACCTGCCTTTAAGGAAGGAAGGGTCTGAATCAAGGTATCCTTCAGTTCCACTGGGCTCGGGCCGCCGATGGAAGCCATCTCTCGTAGGGCAAGTTGCTCGTCAGCAGCCGCGTCGGCGGCCATTGCTTCAATTCTGGGCACAATGCTCCGGAAAGAACTTTCATGGAATGTTGCCGCCTGTCCGGCTCCTGGCAATAATCCACCGTAGCTTGGAGGTGAACCAGTAGTGCAGAAAGCTTCCAAAGCTTTCACACTCGCTTGTCGAATGCCAACAGCCCCTGGCAGATCAACGGTGCCAACTTGCTTCTGCAAATGGATCACGCCCTCCATGACCTCGAGCTTCTCATTGGTTGCCTTGAAGCGGTGCAAGAACCGATTTCCTCTGGCATCCTGTTGAAGTGAAATGCACAACGCTCCAGCCAGGAATTCCGGCTGCTGGGCTCTGTGCCCTTCAGCAAGGCAGTACCGCATCATGGCGCATTTCTTTTTTTCTCCAGCACAAGAAACGTCTAGCGTCAAGCGGCTAGGCTCGGTGTGCTTCAGGACGGCAAGCCATTCGGCACTTGTAGGCACATTGCCGTCGCCATCTTCAAGCCCAATGCCAGCAGACGGATCGCTGCCCATCTGGGCTGCAGTGCGGTGTGCTGGGCTCTCCTGGTGCTTCTTGAAGCGGTCCATGCTCAAATTCTTGTCTCGCACTGCATACTGTGCAAAGTGGTGCCTGTGGTGGCTGAACCGTTGCATGACCTCCGGCTTTTGTTCAAGCAGTTGGTTGCAGACTTTGCATCCGACTCCCCAGAGTCTGGTCTCAAAGTCAAATTTGGTATCTAACCAAGGACATAATTTCAGCCACCTCTCACGGTTGCAAATGAATTTGCACCGAGGGCAGTGCTTCAAGGAGCAATGCCGCTTGTGAGCTGCATCGTCAAAACCACCCAGGCCCGCGGTGAGCGCTGGGTCGGCGTGGCTCTCTGACTCTGCGCCCATGGCTTACTATTGAAGCCGACTTGAACCCCAAACCCCTACCGCAAGTGACGATGCAAGACAAACAGTATGATCCTATCCGTTAACAATCCTGGCTGCACATTTTGTCACTGTTTCCCCCACGGCTGCAAGTGACAACTAGTTGCTAAGACAACTAGTAAGCGCTCAAGGCAGAA